TAAAAATTGTTCTTAGTGTATTTTATAAAACTAAGTTCTGAATATTTTATATTTATTGTTGAGTGTTTTTTAAATTCTGTATTTTTATTATTTATTGTTCCATATTAAGCATCACTTGTAATGACTTCAAACGTACCATTGTTATGTAAATGTTGTCAATAAACCATCTATCTATCTATTATTATTATTATTATTATTATTATTATTATTATTATTATTATTATTATTATTATTATTATAATTATTATTATTATTATAATTATTATTATTATTATTATTATAATTATTATTATTATTATTATTATTATTATTATAATTATAATTATAATTATTATTATTATTATTATTATTATTATTATTATTATTATTATTATTATTATTATTATTATTATTATTATTATTATTATTATTATTATTATTATTATTATTATTATTATTATTATTATTATTATTATTATTATTATTATTATTATTATTATTATTATTATTATTATTATTATTATTATTATTATTATTATTATTATTATTATTATTATTATTATTATTATTATTATTATTATTATTATTATTATTATTATTATTATTATTATTATTATTATTATTATTATTATTATTATTATTATTATTATTATTATTATTATTATTATTATTATTATTATTATTATTATTATTATTATTATTATTATTATTATTATTATTATTATTATTATTATTATTATTATTATTATTATTATTATTATTATTATTATTATTATTATTATTATTATTATTATTATTATTATTATTATTATTATTATTATTATTATTATTATTATTATTATTATTATTATTATTATTATTATTATTATTATTATTATTATTATTATTATTATTATTATTATTATTATTATTATTATTATTATTATTATTATTATTATTATTATTATTATTATTATTATTATTATTATTATTATTATTATTATTATTATTATTATTATTATTATTATTATTATTATTATTATTATTATTATTATTATTATTATTATTATTATTATTATTATTATTATTATTATTATTATTATTATTATTATTATTATTATTATTATTATTATTATTATTATTATTATTATTATTATTATTATTATTATTATTATTATTATTATTATTATTATTATTATTATTATTATTATTATTATTATTATTATTATTATTATTATTATTATTATTATTATTATTATTATTATTATTATTATTATTATTATTATTATTATTATTATTATTATTATTATTATTATTATTATTATTATTATTATTATTATTATTATTATTATTATTATTATTATTATTATTATTATTATTATTATTATTATTATTATTATTATTATTATTATTATTATTATTATTATTATTATTATTATTATTATTATTATTATTATTATTATTATTATTATTATTATTATTATTATTATTATTATTATTATTATTATTATTATTATTATTATTATTATTATTATTATTATTATTATTATTAATTATTATTATTATTATTATTATTATTATTATTATTATTATTATTATTAATTATTATTATTTTTTTTTTTTTTAATTTGGTGTCATCGGCATCGACTGCTAAGGTCATTAGCCTCGTGTTCTGTGTAGGCTTTGTTACTGTTTTCCAGCGCCACTTTAGGAACAGCACTGTTAATTAGAACCCAACAGTGAATGGTCGAGTGGGGAATCCTACCAAGGCATCAGAATTAATTTTAAATAATTAAATTAAATAAAAAAATCCCGGCCATCGGTGGGATTCCAACCTGGGACCCTTGGATCCACAGGCAGAGACTCTAGGGCCTAGGGTAACCCCCCTTCACGGGGGGTTGTACTTTTCTATCCCTGTAAATTCTATACTGGACTTAAGTGGCTGCAGTTATCTTTCATAGTTACCTTCGTATTTGTCTTTGAAATGTGGGTGGCAGTTTATCTTTTTAAATCCTCCGGTTTTTACGGTTTTTTCTTCATACTGGATTTGACTTTTGTAACGTATCCCGGTGATTTTCAAGTAAAGACGAATTGTCCATTTCAGGAATGAGACATAGGTTAAGGAACGAGGTGACTCTGCGCCCGAGTTCACGCACCTTTAATATATGAGTGTCCAACGTCATCAGGAAACACTCTTTGGGGCATTTCGGGAATGGGTGGTCTTGCCTGATCTTGAGATGATCAGAGGATAGCCTCCGATCAGCCTCTCAATTATAGTTATCGTTAGATTAGTTTGTGAGGGGTTATTTTGTATTTATCGTGGTTTTTAGCTTGGTAGATGCTATAATTTACTAGGGCATACTTGGAATTAATTCCTAAAATTGTTTTGCTTTGATAACTTTTCTCTTTTCCCTTTGTTTGTTTAACCAAGTTCATACCTTGTGTAGTACGAAGTCTACCTTGTGTATTTTTAGTGCTTTAGGACTTGATCCTAAAATTTTTGGTGGAATATTTTAGATTTTAGTTTTGCAAATACTATAATTTGCTAGATCTTGTTAGTCCTTGAACTTGATCCTAAATTTGTTTTTTTTTTGTTAGGTAGCTATTGTGATTTTTGGTTGGGCAAATACTAAATTTGCTAAGGTTTTGTTAATCCTTGGACTTGATTCTAAATTTCTTTTCGTTCTCTTTTCCTTAGAAGTTTGGAATCATGGGTGGCTTTGTTATTTATCACCTGGACCCGACACTTATTGGGTAGGAGAGTTTAACAAAAAGTTTCTCTCTACGTTCGAAATTTTTTTTCTCGGGTGATGGGAGGGTGTTACGTGAAATTAATTTTAAATTTATTTTTAACAACAACTTCTCCATAACCCCTAGTAAATTACCAAAAGTTAATCGAATACCGCTCACTCTGAATTGCAAAAGCACGGTTTGCGCGCCTGTCCCTCATTTTGTTCTACATTTACGCTGGTGAACTATAAAACCTGCTGTTGTCGCACAGATCGTCTTTTTTGGCATATCGAACTACGTGATGTAGTAGTGTGTGCCGACAAATAATCTACTATGAGTAGATTTCCGTAATTACTTGTCCTTTATATGTGCTTATTGTGTGTTAACGTTGGCATAATTGTCAGGTTGTGTTTCTTTCAACTTATATTTTAACACTTTGCTGGATTTAGTTGGAAAGTCAATAGATCGGCCATTTGCATTTTTTTATTACCATTATGCTGACGAGTGCCGGTTATTATCATTGTTTTATTTTATTTTATATAGATTATAGCTACCCTACCTAATATTATTTTTAAGCTTTCTTTGATATATACGCGGGGAGGCAACTAAATAATTGAATTACAAGTCAGTCTGGAAATACAGTTTAAACGGAAATCTATGGCTCTTAACTTATTTTGGCCTTATAAATATTTTATATTCTGTTCAGATGATGTAACTTTAATATTTGTCCTGATATTTTATGTTCTGTTCAGACGATGTAATGCATAAGTCCGTTAGACTTCCAAACTGGCATGTAGATGCACTATTACTGTTACTGAGGTTCTTTTTATTTCTAAACCTGTAGTGGCTCCAAGAAGCTTCAAGAAACTCCAAGCTTTATGCTCCAAATGCGAGCTCCAAGTCCAACTATAAGTCCGAGTTACGTAGTTTCTCCTCCAAGTTCGAGTTACGTAGTTTCTCCAAGAAGCTCAGAGTTACGTAGTTTTTCCAATTTCAAGAAGCTCCGAGTTACGTAGTTTCTTCAAGAAGTCCGAGTTACGTAGTTTCTAAAAGAAGCTTCAGGTTATGTAGCTTCTCCAAACAATCTCCAAGTTTCGAAGTAAAGACAGATTGTCCACGACATATGACAGGGAAGTAACGCTATTAAAATTCCACATGGTCGAGACAATTAAATACCTATTATATATGATATATAAAAAATTCACACTATATATTATATAATAGTAAATTCTCCAGAGTTAAATAATGCTTAGTTGTAATTCTTAGAATGGTTATCATTGACCTCTAGGATTATATTCAGCCAAGTTGCATTTCTTGTAAATGCAACACTTTCGCCACCTTACACCTTTTTGCTATTTCTTTTGTTTTACCTACCTTATAAATAGGGGTGACACACATTAAAATGATTAGTTTATAACAACTCACCTACCATAAACATATTATACTTTTTAGTAATAAAATATTTTTTAAAAAACTGTTAGTGTTATTCAAGATATAACATATATATTAAATATCTATTCAACTTCATTCAATTAATTTTAAGTAGACTTTGGCCCGCGAACAGGTCAAGTCACTCTGGTTTTATTTGTCCTGGTCAATTTATGAATCCACGCAATATCAGCAATTTGAGCTAAATCACCTCTTAAGTACAATTTACATCGTAGAAATCAAAAAGAAAGTAACAGGATGTTGAAGAACATCGTGAAATGATATTTATTGCTTATTTAAAAACCTTTCAAGTTTCTGATGTCTACTATTTCCAGTATCACTGTTATTATTACAAAAATAAAGGTAATTTTTCTTCTAATTGCACACATATCCATTTATTTCTTTGATTTAATTTCCACTTTGCTACTGAAAATTTTTATAATTTACACTTTCTTTGCTAGTATTTTTACAATTTTCAACACAGCAACTCCGGTTGCTTATTTTATTGTTTTTACCTACTTTTTTGAAAAAAAAAGTAAAATGTATACATGTATATGATATGCTAAAATTACAAAATATCGCCCTAAAGCACGAATTATCCGCAGCTAGCGCTAGTATCGCTTTTGCTTCCCCTACCATGACTTCGCACGGAGTGATTTCCTTATCTGTATACATATAGGAAAGTAAAAATCACTAAAGTAAAACTGAAATATTTGACAAATACTAAACTATCCTAATGTGTGCCGCTCAGCCTGCTTTGTTAAAATAATTTCCATTAATTTCCAGAGTGTTTCGAAATATATTTTGCCAATCTTACAATCTAAAGAATATCAACATCTTAATACGACAATGTTAATAAGAACCCTGTATGTTCATTTACTTACTTAAAAGTGGGTATATAAGAACTTTTAACAAGTTGTAAAAATTCTCCCATCTTTTTAACTCGTGGGTCTTTAAGCTGATCGTAGATTGATTCCAAATTTTTGTTCCTTCCCATCCAGAAATCAAGTTCGTTCACTGGAATCGGAGTTTTCGAATATGTGAAAACTAATCTCGAAGATTGATTCAATATATCATTAACAGTAGATGCCCATTTCATTATAAAATTTTCCATGCTTATTTTCAGATGGAAATCGACATCTTCACCTTTAGTAGTTTGAAATCTTTGAACTGCAGCGAAAACTCTTGATATCCCTGGAGGCATTGGTAGGATTGTTATACTTTTCATAGCACCTTTTACCTGAAAATTAAATGAAAAAAAATGAACAAATATTTGTAGAATTTTTTGAATGTTTAGAATTTTCATAAGAAGAGAGCATGAGGCAGTATATCTATAAACGCGAAAAAGGAATTTAACTAACATATTTTAAATGTTTTTCAACGCCCTACAAACCTACAGTACTATATACAGTAAATTTATCGTCTTTTTCCAATTTACATAAATTGGATGAAACAATCATCGAGAAAATTTAGTGGGTGGTTTTTTTTTTCAATAATTTATTTAAACACTTATTTATTTTATAACACTTATTTTGATTTATATATATATTTCGAATGTTTTTAAACTGTTCACGATTTATCTTCACTGTCCATATAATAACTGATTGCACTGTGTTCTTCCACCAATATTTATATACAAATTTCTAAAGTTTGGTGGGCTCTAGAAATATTCGGAATAGACCAGAAATATTATCACGATGACTCAGGAATGTTCGCGAAAGTGCCTCCGCCATAGTCGTCACATAGGTTTGGTCTTAAGGGGTTTAATTATGTATAATAATCGTAAAAATTGAGCCTCAAAGGCCAAATAAGACAGAGGGACTTGGATGGTTAGAGCATGACTAAATAATGAAATGGCTCACATAACAATACGTATAAATATTACTAATTGAACTAGAGAGAACTAGTAAATTTAAGTTAATTTAGTGAACGCCGTTGTCATTAGGTATTTTCAAAATAAATTAAAAAATTAAAAATGAAAGGTATTACTATTCATCAAAATAAACAGAATTTTTCTTTAATCTTACATGCAGGATGTTGTTTTGAGGAAATAAAAATTTATCAGTCATTGAACAACAAATTTTATTTATAAAGTGTGATTCGTATATTTTGTTGAATTAAAGAAATTGGCAAAAATGGCTGTAGGAATTTAAAGACCTACTAAATATGATATATATGTAGAATTACTTCGGTGGCAACTATCTACTCTCGACACCTTTAAAAGTTAAATACCAATTTCCAATTTTTCTGTTAAATAATAAGTCAGAATATTCAATAAATAGGTATATTATTTTTAAGCATATAAAAATATATTTGAAAATAAAGTTTAGAAATTATGTTCCGAAAATAATTCCGAGTGCCCCAAAGAGGATGACAATTAGAAATTATTCAATTTCCAAATTGAATTTTGACTTTTGAAAAAGATCAATCGTCAAGACTGTAAAATAAAGACTTTTAACCAATCCTTAAAATAATTCTAAATACCCAGAAGGGTGTAAAAATTCGACAAATACAATTTCAAAATAATCTAATGTAGATTTGGAAAAATGATCAATTGTCAGGAGATCACAATAAAAATTCAAAATGGTTTACAATTGTTTAGACGTTCGACCATCCCCTAAAATAATTATAAGTAGAACAGAGTGTGAAAATTGTAAAAATATAATTTCCAAATTCAATTTCGACTCGATGGTAACAAACATAAGAGAAAAATGAAAATACACAGAGGTTTATGGCTTCTATACACGATCGGCCATCATGGGCGATCACAGGCGAGTACTAACGTGTGGAAGGTTTATTTGTCTTTAATCGGATGTGATTTGTCGGTTTTTCACACACGGATCAAAGGTAATTATAGATAAAATAATAATTTTATTTATCTATGAAGATAATCGCCTGTAGTTGCTTTTGTGTTTTGACACGATCGGTTTGTATTTGAGTGGTAGGCAGGGCCGCCGAGAGCCAGGTAGGGCCCCGGGACAATTTTCTAGGTGGGGCCCCGCGACAATTTTATAAAACAAATAAGCATTTTCAATATCACATTTCTTAAAAAAAGGTCCTCATCTTGTATTTTACGTAAACCAGCGCTCCTCTGCCGGGCCCACTTGAGCTCGGGCTCCGTGAATTAGTCCCAGCTACCCCCTTTCGTCGGCCCTGGTGGTAGGTATTAGATGTACGTGGTTTATGTGATGATTATATGCACAAATCACATAAATAGCCGTAGTTGCAACCAACTCGTCACTGAGTTCCATCTTAAACAATGGAGAAAAAGTAAGTGAACTAGTGAACACGGACGATTGTGTGGATGACAGCGCTCTTTTATTATAAGTGAGCCCGAAGACTCCTTCTCACTCGAGAAGCGTTCTTGAAAGTCGCACGTTAACAAATCCCTGAAACATAGTGAAAATATCATAAAATCACTTAAATCAGCTTAATTTGCGCAACGCACACAGTGTCGTCACAAAATATGGCAAGGCATACGAACTTTCCAATCATTGATATAAAATGAGGAAATGCTATGACGATACTAAAAGTGTCCGCACAGTTTTAGGTCGTATATCAAACTCGAGCAAGTTAGTCAGTTTTAGTGAAAATAAGTACCTTTTTTTTAATTAGCATGACTTAAATGACATAAAAACATTTTCTTTCAGTCAATCTTTAAATATAAAATTGGCCCTCGTACAATTTTGTATGAATAAAGAAAAAGATGATCTTAACTTTTTTATTGGAGGTATGAATATTAACATTTTAGCTCATGATAAATACACTACTGAATATCTGAACACCCTAAATGAATTTGGCTTCTTATCTACAATCAATGAACCAACCCGACTAAAAAACTGTATTGATCATATTATCTTAAAATCTAAACAAAATATAATGAATAATATTATGCCAATAGTACTTAAAAGTAATATAACAGATCATTCAACAACTATAGTACAACTAATCTTTAATAATGATATAATAAAAAGTTAAAAGCTATGTCCCAAAAAGATAAGGTACTTAAATCATACTAAACTGATACAGAAAATACAACAGGTAGATTGGCAAATAATACTTACGCAATCAAATATAAATATAGCAATGAATACACTTATAACAGCAATATCTGAACTTATAAATGAATCTACAGAAGTAAAAAAATATAAAAAAAAAAAACATCAAAGATTGCACCATGGATCACAGGTTCGATATTAAAAAGCATAAACAAAAAACGATATGTTTAAAAAACTGAAAAATGATTCAAATAATGAAATTTTAAAAAGTGAGTATAAATCGTTTAGAAATTCAGTTACAAACTTAATAAAAAAATCTAAAGCCAATTATTACAAAACTAAATTCCAGTGATCCAAAACAACTCTGGGGCGTGATTCAAGCGTTGAGTTTCCAGAAAACCTTTAAGAGACTTCCTAATTCAATAGTTTTATTACCAGCGGACTCTAAAGATATAAACAATTTGATTTGCGAACTAAAAAAATAAAAAATCTACGGGAATAGATAAAATCAAAGCGGAAACTATTAAGCTGTTCTCTAACTACATTATCGAACCATTACAATACATTATAAATAAATGTTTTCAAAATGGAATATGGCCAGAGGCATTCAAAAAAACCATGGTATTCCTATTTTTAAAAAAGGTGAGAATAGTTACTAATTATCGACCAATTTCACTTCTGACTAACTTCTCAAAGATCTTTGAGAAATTATTAAAAAAAAAGAGTAATGTCTTTTATGGATAGGTATGGGTTACTCTCGCCTCGGCAGTTTGGATTTAAAGAAAATACTTTCACAGAATATGCTTTACTCGTCCTAACCAACAAGAATCAAGATGCCTTAGAGAGAGGGAGGCCGTGTCTGTGTATATTTATTGATTTGGCAAAGGATTTCGATACAGTTAGTCACACATTACTATTAGAAACATTAGAAGAGGAAATTGCTTTGTCCTTTTGCAAAGTTATTTACAAAATAGAACTCAAATGGTAAAATTGGAAAATGAAATTAGTGATGAAAGGAAAATAGCTTATGGAGTTCCTCAGGGACTGTATTGGGGCCTGTACTTTTCAATTTATACGTAAATAATATATTTTCCCTAAAAAATGTGGGCGATGTCATAGGCTACGCTGATGATACAGCATTTTCTTTGAAGCCGACACATGGGGGTCAATTCTCGACTTGTAGGAACCTTTTCCTATAGGAATTTGTGACACTTTCCTACATGTAGACAAATGTCATAAATTTCCGTTGTGTAGAAAAATGCCATTTTTACATACATCGAAAATTTATGACATATTCCTACATATAGGAAAGTGTCACAAATTCCTATAGGAAAAGGTTCCTACAAGTCGAGAATTGACCCCCTGGTCAGAATTAAAAGACAAAGCAGAAAACGGCGTCCGCATTATAAAAAATTGGTTTGACCACAGGTTCCTAACTATTAATATAGATAAAACCTTCCTTTTACTCTTTAGCTGCAACAAAGCTGCAAGTTCTACCTTTCAACATCTTATCAATGATACCTCCAATAACAAAATGACTTCCTTATCGCAGATAAAATACTTAGGAATCTTTATAGATGCACACCTTAAATGGGATATCCATATTAATTTATGTAATTAAAAAACTGCAAACAATCCTATATTTTAAACAGTTAAATAAATGCTTGTCACTAAATTTGATGAAATCTTTATATCTCTCCCTAGTGGAAAGTCACTTGCGTTACGGAATAATCATATGGGGCGGAACTCTACGAGTACATTTAAATTCACTGGAGATAATACAAAAAAGTTTGTTAAATTAATTATGTCTAAAAAAATCTATTTATCCATCTGAACTTCTCTATAAAGAATGCCAAATCATGGACTTAAGACAGTTATTTTATTATAGGACCAATACTAAATTTTACTCCTCCCAAAATAAAGAATTTCCTGAACACTCCCATAATACTAGGCAAAAAATGATTACAGTTTTACCCCTGGTAAAAAATCCATTTCACAAAGATCCTACTCATACACCGCAAAAAAATTTTATAATAGTCTTCCAAATAATCTATAAAATATAAAAAATAAAACTATACTTAAAAAGAAACTAAAAACATATATACTGGCAACTGACCGAAATAAAATTAGTGAGATATTGGAATCTCAATTAAAGTGATTTAATATTTTCGTTTTTACTAGTAATATTCAATGTCGTCTTACCTGTTTACTATACGTATCACCATTTTTACTCATCTTTTTA